TTGCATGCATGAGGCCCTGGGTTTGATTCCTCAGCACCACATAAGCAGAAAAAGCCAGAAGTGGCACTGTGGCTCAAGTGGTAGAGAGCTAGCCTTGAGCTGCAGAGCTGAGGGACAGCACCCAGGCCCAGAGTTCAGGCCCTATGACCAGAAAAAAAAAAGATAATGAAAACATCTTGTCTACTTCTACATATGGGTTCAAACAAGTGTGACCCATTAGTCATTTTGTAGCCTTTAAACTTGCCAAGCTAGAATTGACAAGCTAGTATTTACAGGCTAGAGGGATTCCCCAAAGGTGGAAGAGAAGGTAGAAGGTTGAGGAAGGAAAGAAAAACAAAGGTCCAATACTGAGGGTCTGTAAAGGAGTTGAAGATAGTTGAATGAAGGAACAAAAATTGATTCCTCATAAGTGCTAAATTATAGAATGTTATGAAAATATGGATGATAACATTTTCTCCCCAGGCTATGGCCCCCCAATGTTCAGAAAAGGAGAAAGATACATGTTTTTAAGGACCTGGTGTTAAAGACCTGTTCTCACCTTCTCCACATGTTCATGGGCATGGATAGCTTAGTTACTAAAATTTTAAGTTTTCTCATTGATAAAATTAATATAGTTTCTGTCCACTCCTCTAAGGTTTTTAAGAGAATTAAATGGGATAATACTAGTGCATGATCATTTTAGCTTACACATTTTGACAAATGGGTGCTAAGAATGGATGAAATCTAGCCATCAATAGAATGTGGAACTACTTTTTTCCTTATCTCCCTATTCTCGGAACTTATAGTTAGATGACTTTCAATCTGTTACATGCCTGATAAATATTTGTTCAACTAAATTCCAAAGACATCAGAATGGTTGAGTTCTAAAACAGAAACTAGCATTCCACTGGCAAACTCATTATCAGACTATTGTTTACGACCATATAGTTGAGAATAATTGAGGCATACTTGGTACTTTATTCCTCTGTCACGTCAGGTGAGTCTCTTTGGGGCTTCCTCCTGTCTTTTAAGGAGCCCTTAGATGTTATGCAGCATGTATTAAGAAAAAGGATGCGCATTATTTACCATATCTAAGATATGGAACCAACCCAGGTGCCCCTCAGTAGATGAATGGATCAAGAAAATGTAGTATATATGTATACAATGGAATTACATGCTTTCATCAGAAAGAATGACACCACTTCATTTGTAAGGACATGGAAGGACTTGGAAAAAATCATATTAAGCTAGACCCCCCAAAATAGGTTCCATGGTTTCCCTTATTTGTAATAATTAGTATACATCTAGGATAAAAATCTTAGCAGATGAGCAGAATAGCTCAATAGCTATGTACATATGACCATATAAGATGATGGTAAGTGAAATGAGCTCCAAGACATGGACACAAGAGGTTTTTCTTTGTTGTTGTTCTCAATGTACTACATGATTTCTTGTTTTGTGTGTGTTTTTTTTCCCTCCTGTGGTTTATCCCGTTGTCATTGTATTCAATTTTGGTATCCTGGGTATTGTATATATGTTTATCTGAACTAGGGAAGGGAAGGGGAACAACAAAATGGTGAGACAAAGGACAAAGTGGGAACCTATGCAACAGTGATACTCACAAGACAATATGTTGGAAATGAACTGTACAACTTGGAAGGGGGATGGGAAGAGGGAAAGAGGGAGAAAAATGAGGGAGGGGGTAACAAGTGAGACAAGAAATGTAATCACTGCCTTACTTATGTAAACTGTAATCCCTCTGTACATCACCTCGACAATAAAAAAAATAAAGAAAAAGACTTCATTGGATGGAAGAGAAAGCTCATAAGAGCTTTCTAATCAGAAAGCCTAAAGTCTTTATTCAAGAGGACTAAAATTTTGATGGGAGGAAGGCAGGCATTTACAGAGGGAGAACACTCAGTATCAAGTTACCAGGAAAGTTTGTACTCTAAAAGAATATTTGGATTGGTAAAAGAAGAAAAGAGAACTAGTAGCATATGTATTTTATGTCTGTTAAAGTTTAGGCATTGCATTAGGCAAGGTGTTGCTATGTTTTGATCTCATTGTAGTCTTGTAAGGCAGAACTACACATTCACATTTCGCAGGTGAAGAAACAGAAGCTTGGAGAAATGAACATGCCCTAAGTTATCAAATATTTTCTGTGTTGTACAACCTCATGTTTAGCCTTATGTCTGTATTTTTATACTTTAGTGTTGGAGAATCACTCTAAACTCATCATGATCGAAGACAATAAGGAGAACAAAGACCATTTGTTAGAAAGGGGAAGAGCAACTCTTATTTTTTCCTTAAAGAATGAAGTTGGGGGACTTATAAAAGCACTGAAAGTCTTCCAGGTAAGTACTCCACACACACACACACACACACATTTATGCTGGTTCTGGGGCTTCAATTCAAAGTTGAGTGCTGACCGTGAGCATTTTTACTCAAGACTAGCACTCTACCACTTGAGTCATAGCTCCACTTCCAGAAATAATAGTCTCACAGACTTTATTGCCTGAGCTAACGTTGAAGTCCTGAGTAGCTAGGATTACAGGCATGGGCTACTGGCACCTGGCACCATATTTCTTTCTTTTTTATCTTTTTCTTTTTTGTGAACATACTGTACAGAG